TATTCTACCCCGGAATATTCACGGGTCTAAGGTTTTAAGTAACTCGCCAATGCCCGAGAAAAAAATCCTTTTTTCAATATCCAAATACAAACTAAAGCAACAAAAAATCATGGATATGGATATGTCTCGAGACAATTCGAGGCTAAAAACAGAGACCCAAATACAATTGGCATCGTTTTCTTTTTAAAAAAGTCCCCACTGAATAAGGTAAAGCTAGAAGGCTCTGCAGCTCACCTTCATTATCCAGTTTCGACAATCTGGATTAGATGCAATCCTTTTCATGACGCCATTTTTGATACCGTCTTCACAAAGATTTAGTTCCACAATTCTTCACAGGTTGTGTTATAGTGTGTGAGTGAGTGAGTGAGTGAGTGAGTGAGTGAGTGAGTTAGTTTAACGCCGCTTTTAACATTATTCCAGTTATATCACGGCGTGTCAGCTCAATGTTGGAGGAAAGCCCGAAGTAATGCAGGTCTCAGACGTTTACAACTTCGGTGAAATCCACGAGGTATAACTTCTTTGAGTGGCATTTAGAAGTTGGAATGGTAACTAAGTCAAAATTGTTATGGATGAGCAACTTCTTTATTACAATTGGGCGATGTTATATAAACATTTTTCTATTGTTATGTATATATATCATGCTCATACCTAGTTTGTACATCATTTGCTTGATAACGGTGTTAGAATCTACACCGAAACGTCGCCCAATTGTAATAATGAAGTTGCTCAACCATAACAATTTTGACTTAGAAACCCACGAGCACGATATGGAGCTGACAAACCTAGAAACATAATCGGGGCGAACCCGGGATTCGAACCGACAATCATAGGTTTCTGGCGTGACCAAGGGACGCAACTCTGCACAGCGAATCGCGGGCCCCCCTCTAAGATACTATATGAATAACCAAATGGGTCAGCATTATTCGACTTTCGTAGCCGGGTAAAAACTATGTAATATACACGTTCCTTATACGGGTCAAGTGAAACAGTACCATCCTTAAGGTTATTTAGGTGTGACGCGGCCTGGGGATCGAACCATGACATTCCGCTTCCTGGTCAGACGCTCAATCTATTACACCAAGGAGCCGGTATTGCGGCCAAACGTAATCTGCTCACAACTTAAAAAAATCACACGCACTCACAGCCCGATGTCCACTCAGTCGTGACGTATGCAACATGATTAGAAACTTGTTGATGGGGACAATTTAAAAGGGCAATGATATAGCCTGTGACGTGATGAGACAAGAACAACGACCCAACCTACATCAGGCGCCTGTGGTTTCAGCTGCTGAGCGCCTTACGTGCTCCGTACAATAGTACACCATATGAACAGGACTTAAAAACCCGCGCCGTGATGGTGTTGTGCTGTAGTCGCTTATAGCCGCCTGATACAAACAGACAAACACACAGGGTACGAAACGCTCTCAGCCAAACTGCAGACACACGTTAAAGACAATCCCATACACCAATCAGTTCCTCCAAACTAATTTAATACTTAAAGCAGAAAATCTCCCCCCTCCACCAACACATGCTCACCCTCTGAATAAGCAGCTCATAAAACGGATGGAATTTGCTTTCCTTCCAGATTCAGGTGAGCTAATACACGAACGTGATGCGGAGATTTAAACAGCTGTTAAACGTTTGAGACTTTCCCTCTCCCCGACTCCATTTACACGAGGGTTAACGTGACCTAAGCTATAAACAGGAACTATTTTTGGCACGACAAAATGACCAGTGTTGGTTAAACAAATTATAGTAGCATACCACCTCAAGACGCCTTCGTCTTGATAAAATCACACTGTAAATCAGACATAGTTTGAACCATAATTAACACTATTACTGTATACGGGGGAGTTGGTAGGGCATGTGAACATGCAGACATGTACATGTATATATGTAAAGGCTGTTACGGTATCTATATGTTGAATGAATACTTAGTTGACTCATGGCAACAAATTGAGGGTGAAAACTAGAGCTTTGATACCTATAAAGGTGAGGTGAGGTGAAATGGGGTTTAACGTCGCGTCCAAGATTATTGTACTTACATAGCGACGTGCATGTACGTGTGTGTGTTTGTGTTTGTGTGGCTGCTTGTACTAGTCCGGACTGATGCCGATTTATAGTGCTAGCTCACTGAGATACCATGCCGCAGTTTAACATGAATACCCCACTCAGACACAGTATACTGACTCCGATCCGACCAGTCCTTGTTTTAGCCCCTTAATGCCGAGCGCCAGATAGGGCAACAACAAGTACCCTCTTTTAATGTCTTTTGGTATGACGCGGCCGGGATCGAACCCTGGAACCACGCTCTGGGCATCCGCTCTACCGCTAGACCACAAAGGCGGTCCCAGCTTTGAGAATTATCCAGCTATATGATGAGGATGGAGGAGTTGTTTCAGACCTACACTCTTTATAAATTCAAGAAATTGGTCAACATGGATTTATCAGAATATTTCTACATACTCTGTGAATGTCAAGTAATTAATTTTATCGGCATTCTAAACTTGATATAGTGAGTGAGTGAGTTTGATTTTACGCCACTTTAAGCAATATTCCAGCAATATCACGTCGAGGGACACCAGAAATGGCCTCCACACATTGTACCCATGTCAGGAATCAAACTCAGGTTTTCCGCGTGTGGAGCGAACACTTTAACCACTAGGCTACCCGACCGCCCCTCTAAACTTGATGTAACCTTGCACTCTACTTGTTATTGTGGCTGTTTCTTCTTCACACATCCAGGTGTCTTTTGTGAAACTTTATAATGCAATCACTCAATAATGCCATCTTCGGTTACAGTGAGTGAGTGGTTGGGTGAGTGAGTGGTTGAGTGGTTGAGTGAGTGAGTGAGTGTGTGAGTGGTTGAGTGAGTGAGTGAGTGTGGTTGAGTGAGTGGTTGAGTGAGTGAGTGAGTGGTTGGGTGAGTGAGTGAGTGAGTGGTTGAGTGAGTGAGTGAGTGAGCGAGTGAGCGAGTGAGTGAGTGAGTGAGTGAGTGAGTGAGTGAGTGAGTGAGTGAGTGATGTTTCCCACTTTACCCAGTGTGTCAGTTTGATGTCAATGGGTGTCGGTTTGATGTGGGAGGAAAGTCTGAAACCATGCATGTTTTAAATGCTTTCCAATCTGTGGAGCCCAATTCAGGATGGAGAAGAGTGAGTGAGTGAGTGAGTGAGCTGGGTTTGACGCCGCTTTTAACAGTATTCGAGTTATATCACAGCGTGTCAGGGAGGAAAGCCCACATTAAGGAAAGTGATGCAGGTCTCAGACGTTTACCACTTCGGTGAAACCCACGAGCACGGGTATGGTGCTGACAAACCTAGAAACATAATCGGGGCGAACCGGGGTTCGAACCCAGAATATCATAGGTTTCTGGCGTGCCCAAGGGACGCAACTCTGCACAGCAAATCACAGCACCTTACACGACTGGGCCACCCTCCTCGGATTGAGAAGAAAAAAGAAGAAACATTCATCTGAAGTGCATATTTCTGGGTTTCAGATCACACATACTAACATTTTCCAATCAGGTTTCAGCCTATACTGATGTCACAGTGCAACTTGTCATGCTTACATGGCATTTCTACAGCAAAACCAATTACTGACAGCAAATCACAAGGTGTTTTCTGACTTGCCAGAACTCCACAAAACAAGTAAATAATTCTTGCTGTCTTTATTCACAGGATGACACAGAACAGTTACATGTTTGCAAACATTTGACAGTTGAAGGAATTTCAAGTCCACCATGAGTTAGTGAGTGAGTATGGTTTTACGCCGCTTTTAGCAATATTCCAAAAATATCACGGCGGGGGACACCAGAAATGGGCTTCACACATTGTACCCATGTCGGAAATCAAACCTGGGTCTTCGGTGTGACGAGCGATGTTCTAATAGGGCTGGGATGGGTAACTTGGGTACTCAGGTCGGGTGGTTCCTGAGTAGGACCCAGGTACCCACAGTACTACCCGGACCCATGGTTAGTCACGTGATATATTGTTTCATGACAAATACTCACTATAGCTGAGTGGTTACACTAAAAGTGGCTCATGTCCCCATTTCTTCCTGACAATGCACACATTCCCTTTGACTTGTATATGTTTGAGTGAAGATAAAGCTTCAGTCAACTTAGTGTACCATGATCTGTTCGTTTGATACATGTATCTGAATAATTTAGGCCAGGGCTGTAGTAAAACAATTGCCAATCAGACATTGTGTTCCCAACTCTTGACACCGGTAGTGGGTACCCGGGTAGGGTCGGGTAATAGGGAGTCAGGTACCCGGGTAGGGTCGGGTAGTAGGGGGTCAGGTACCCAGGTAGGGTCGGGTAATAGGGAGTCAGGTACCCGGGTAGGGTTGGGTAATAGGGGGTCAGGTACCCGGGTAGTAAATCTTGACTCGTCCCAGCCCAGTTCTCTTATTCAGTGTAAGGTGAGGTGAGGTGAAATGGGGTTTAACGTCGCGTCCAAGATTATTGCACTTATATAGCGACGTGCATGCACGTGTGTGTGTTTGTGTGGCTGCTTGTACTAGTCCGGACTGATGCTGATTTATAGTGCTAGCCCATTGGGATACCATGCTGCAGTTTAACATGAATACCCCACTCAGACACAGTATACTGACTCCGAGCCGACCAGTCCTTGTTTTAGCCCCTTAATGCTGAGCGCCAGACAGGGTAACAACAAGTACCATCTTTTAACGTCTTTTGGTATGACGCGGATGGGGATTCAGTGTAAGATGCCCAAATGTGCATTGGAAGAGAACCAAGCAGAGGAATGATTAAAGTCTCATGTACTTTCTTCCTAACTGTTGTCATCGAGACATGTTTCCAGAGTAACCAGGTTCTTTGTTCTTTTTAACTAAAATGATCCTAAAAAAATATGTATTTACTTGAAGATTTATAATCAGGCCCCTGTTTCACCAGCCTCCAAATTAACCTGTGGGCTTCCCAACCATCTTTAAAGATTTAAAAATGAACAATTTCCACATCATTATGCAAATGAGTTATGTGAATGAATTATGTTGTTATATGAACCATACATGCTGTATATCCTGTATAGAGAGCAACTCATTTTCACATTTAAAACCTCATATAAATTCTCTACTGTAAAACATATAATTGCAATCTCAGATCACAAGGTCACGTTTCCAGTTTCAACTTTTCAATCCCACCACAAGCTCCAACTAATGTGTCTTCTTCACTTTTGGTACAATGTTCCTCACAACTAGTTTCACATGATGGAACACTGCTGCCGACACAACTACTTTCACTCTCTTGAGCACTAGTCTCCACACAACTAGTGTTACTGGTATCAGTGAGTCGAGGCCCTTGTTTGGCGAGTTTGTCTGACTTCCTAAGGATGCAGGCTTGTTTGTAGGGCGGGTCTATAGGAGCCTGTGTAGGGGCGTGGTAGGTATAGCCTTTACCTGGCTCCAACTGGAACACCGACAAGAAAAATGAATGCACAAATTGATTTTTATGTCCCTTTGCAAACCAGTTCATCATAAGAAGAGTAAAACACAGCAATCTCAATGCTAAACTTCCTAGTTTTGTTACTTTCAGAATGGTCTCTGTCATTTTTAGGACATCAGTTGACTAATCTGTGAAACGTAATTGAAGAAATAGACAATTTGACTCATTCATAATGACAATAATGTACATCCACATGTTTAAAGTGAGTCGCACAATGTTGTTTAGGCCAACATAGACTTTCAACAGTCGTATTGTTAACACATACTTCAACATAGACATAGACAAAGTGCTGAGATTGTTATGTGGAACAGGCTCCAGACTCAACAAAGGTTTACCTGTTTAGGCCAACATAGACTTTCAACAGTCATAGTGCTAACATATACTTCAACATAGACTTTCAACAGTCATATTGCTAACACATACTTCAACATAGACATAGACAAAGTGCTGAGATTGTTATGTGGAACAGGCTCCAGACTCAACAAAGGTTTACCTGTTTAGGCCAACATAGACTTTCAACAGATATAGTGCTAACATATACTTCAACATAGACTTTCAACAGTCATAGTGCTAACATATACTTCAACATAGACTTTCAACAGTCATATTGCTAACACATACTTCAACATAGACTTTCAACAGTCATAGTGCTAACACACACTTCAACATAGACTTTCAACAGTCGCAGTGCTAACACATACTTCAACATAGACTTTCAACAGTCATAGTTCTAACATACTTCAACATAGACTTTCAACAGTCATAGTGCTAACACATACTTCAACATAAACTTTCAACAGTCGCAGTGCTAACACATACTTCAACATAGACTTTCAACAGTCATAGTGCTAACACATACTTCAACATAAACTTTCAACAGTCGTAGCGCTAACACATACTTCAACATAGACTTTCAACAGTCATAGTGCTGACACATACTTCAACATAAACTTTCAACAGTCATAGTGCTAACACATACTTCAACATAGACTTTCAACAGTCATAGTGCTAACACATACTTCAACATAGACTTTCAACAGTCATAGTGCTAACATACTTCAACATAGACTTTCAACAGTCATAGTGCTAACACATACTTCAACATAGACTTTCAACAGTCATAGTGCTAACACACACTTCAACATAAACTTTCAACAGTCGTAGTGCTAACACATACTTCAACATAGACTTTCAACAGTCGTAGTGCTAACACATACTTCAACATAGACTTTCAACAGTCGTAGTGCTAACACATACTTCAACATAGACTTTCAACAGTCGTAGTGCTAACACATACTTCAACATAGACTTTCAACAGTCGTAGTGCTAACACATACTTCAACATAGACTTTCAACAGTCGTAGTGCTAACACATGCTTCAACATAGACTTTCAACAGTCATAGTGCTAACACATACTTCAACATAGACTTTCAACAGTCGTAGTTCTAACATACTTCAACATAGGCTATTAACAGACATATTGCTAACACATACTTCAACATAGACATAGACATAGCGCTTAGATTGTTATATGGAACAGGCTCCAGATTCAACAAAGGTTTCTCACCTGTATGCCTCGACACATACAGCCAGGCCATTTAGTCTTGAAGATGGCTTACCTATGTTGACAGAGCTACCTACCTCCAGAGGGTACGTCCGGTCCGAGTCGAAGCCGCTGAGGTCACCACAGGCAAGGAAGGGAACAATAATTCTGTTGGGTCCTTCTAGATTGTTGAAGTCCACATCTGAAGGAATGATGGGTAACTACAGAGGTCCAAACACCCTCAAAGGTCACAGTAAACTGGCTGTCCTGATGCCTCTCATTCAACATGTATCGCTCAAGAAACACATAAGTCTCAGACAAAACATGATTCTAAACAAAAACAGGAGGGAGGCAACACATAGTGAGCAAGTTTGGTTTAACGCCATGTTAAACAGTATTTCATATATATCCAAGCATGTCAACTTGATGCTTTGAGCAATGGACATTTAGCACCATACGACAATCCTTGAAATATTATTAGTATCTTGGACATATAATGGATGCAACTCAGTGAATTGTGGTGCCTTAGACGACGAAGCAACCTGTGCCCCCAGCAACACAGGAGCCTCTAAAGTAACACAAACATCACTTAAACATTATACCATCTTCTCCAGCAACACGGGAAACTCTCAAGACACACAAGAAACTCTCAAGACACACAAGATACTCTCAAGACACACAACAATCACTCAAACATCACACCGGCTTCTCCAGCAACACAAGAACCTCTCAAGACACACAAGATACTCTCAAGACACACAACAATCACTCAAACATCACACCGGCTTCTCCAGCAACACAAAAGATACTTTCAAGACCCACAACAATCACTCAAACATCACACCGGCTTCTCCAGCAACACAAGAAACTCTCAAGACACACAAGATACTCCCATGACACACAAGATACTTTCAAGACACACAACAATCACTCAAACATCACACCAGCTTCTCCAGCAACACAAAAGACTCTCAAGACACACAAGATACTCTCAAGACACACAACAATCACTCAAACATCACATCACCTTCTCAAGCAACACAGAAGTCTCAAGACACACCAGATACTCTCAAGACACACAACAATCACTCAAACATCACACCACCTTCTCAAGCAACACAAAAGACTCACAAGACACACAAGGTACTCTCAAGGCACACAAGGAACTCTCAAGACACACAACAATCACTCAAACATCATACCGACTCTCAAGACACACAAGAAACTCTCAAGACACACAACAATCACTCAAACATCACACCACCTTCTCAAGCAACACAAAAGACTCACAAGACACACAAGGTACTCTCAAGGCACACAAGGAACTCTCAAGACACACAACAATCACTCAAACATCATACCGACTCTCAAGACACACAAGAAACTCTCATGACACACAACAATCACTCAAACATCACATCACCTTCTCAAGCAACACAGAAGTCTCAAGACACACAAGATACTCTCAAGACACACAACAATCACTCAAACATCACATCACCTTCTCAAGCAACACAAAAGACTCAGAAGACACACAAGGTACTCTCAAGGCACACAAGGAACTCTCAAGACACACAACAATCACTCAAACATCATACCGACTCTCAAGACACACAAGAAACTCTCAAGACACACAACAATCACTCAAACATCACACCACCTTCTCAAGCAACACAGAAGTCTCAAGACACACAAGATACTCTCAAGACACACAACAATCACTCAAACATCACACCACCTTCTCAAGCAACACAAAAGACTCACAAGACACACAAGGTACTCTCAAGGCACACAAGGAACTCTCAAGACACACAACAATCACTCAAACATCATACCGACTCTCAAGACACACAAGAAACTCTCAAGACACACAACAATCACTCAAACATCACATCACCTTCTCAAGCAACACAAAAGACTCTCAAGACACACAAGATACTCTCAAGACACACAACAATCACTCAAACATCACACCACCTTCTCAAGCAACACAAAAGACTCACAAGACACACAAGGTACTCTCAAGGCACACAAGGAACTCTCAAGACACACAACAATCACTCAAACATCATACCGACTCTCAAGACACACAAGAAACTCTCAAGACACAACAATCACTCGCACATCATACCACCTTCTCCAGACACCCTCAAGACACACAAGAGACCCTCAAGACACACACAAGCCTGGCAAGACACACACAAAGCCTCACACAACATAGGAACCTTGCAAGCAACAGACTACTCATCATTATTAAACTCTTACACCAAGCATAGAGCACTGCATTGAGATATATTCAGATACAGGTCCTATAGAATTTAAGTGAGTGAGTGAATATGGTTTTACGCCATTTTTTAAATATTCCAGCAATATCACAGTGGGGGACACCAGAAATTGGCTCCACACATTGTACCCATGTGGGGAATCGAACCCAGGTCTTCAGCGTGACGAGCGAACCTTTAAACCACTTGGCTAGTCCACCGCCCCTTTAAGTGAGCGAATGAATGCTGCTTAATATTCTAGCCATATCGTGGCAGTCTGTAAATAAACAAGACTGGACCAGGCAGAGAGTGAGTAAGTGGGGAAACCAGAAATGGGCTACACAGATGGTACCCTGGAATTGAACCCAGGCCTTTGGCGAGAAGAGCAAATGCTTTAGCCTCAAGGCTAACCCACTTCTGTTAGTGACAAATAGTGCAGACAAAAAAAATGTTCCAATTAAGATAAATGTTGGCTTCGAGTGATAAAGTCACAATTACACTGTTTCCACCTCATCCTCATTAGTTGGCATGGGGAACCTATATTCAGTCTTGGACTCCCACCAGGGTATAACTGTTTGCGACCCGTGAAGATTCCGGGGTAGAATAGGTCTTCAGCAACCCATGCTTGCCGTAAAAGGCAACTATGCCTGTCGTAAAAGGCGACTAGCGGGATCGGGTGGTCAGGCTCGCTGACTTGGTTGATGAATGTCTTCGATCCCAATTGCGTGGATCGATGCTCATGACATCAATCACTGGATTGTCTGGTCCAGACTCGATTATTTACAAACTGCTGCCATGTAACTGGAATATTGCTGAGTGCGGCGTTAAACAACAACCAACCAACCAACCAACAACTGTTTGCCCCACTCACCGTAGTGTTGATCCAGCAGGGGGTTGGACATGTTGGGTGTGTAGCCCTCCGGGGGACAGTAGCTCTGACACACCACAAAGGCCTCTGAAATAACAACATAGTCAAGGAACATGTCATCACTGCACAACACAACATCAGAAGTAACTAGAAGTCTGTTTTCAATATGGCCGACACACCAAGCATGGTGTACATTCTGATACAACTCATCAAGTAGCAGGGTGCAATACGAGATGATACCCACCGCTTCACATCTGTGTTGTTGCTGTTATAGGCTGCAGTCAGCAATACATCAGTTATACCATGATATATCAGTGGTCTGGGGTACGAAGTGAAGTGAAATGCGTTCTTATGTAGCTATCAGGACCGCCTCCGTGGTCTAGTGGTAGAGCGTCCGCCTGGAGAGCGGAAGGTCTGGGGTTTGATCCCAGTGGGTGAAATGGGGTTTAACGTCGCGTCCAAGATTATTGCACTTATATAGCGACGTGCATGCACGTGTATGTGTGTGTGTGGCTGCTTGTACTCGTCCGGAATGATGATTTATAGCGCTAGCACACTGAGATACCATGCCGCAGTTTAACATGAATACCCCACTCAGACAAAGTATACTGACTCCAAGCCGACCAGTCCTTGTTTTAGCCCCTTAATGCCGAGTGCCAGACAGGGTAACAACAAGTACCATCTTTTAATGTCTTTTGGTATGACGCGGTCGGGGATCGAACCCCGGACCTTCCACTCTCCGGGCGGACGCTCTACCACTAGACCACGGAGGTGGTCGACACAATAAAGTATTTATGTGTTTCTTCAACAAGGTACTGGTACTCTGACCCGTACTTCCCACATACCCTCTAAATTGTCTGCACATGACAAACTGGTACAAACAATTTAGCTTTACACACCTATACTGGAGTTCCGACTACTTCTGGGTTTGAAGACGGTGACAAATGGAAAGAAAATCTTCAGCTGTGAATACAGGAGCGTCACATCCTTTCCTCGGAATATCTGAAACAGACATGGCAACAATCACTTAAAACAATTAAATACTACCAAACCTGAAATATTTTACATCCATATTTACATTGATGAATTGTGATGGCATCAATAAAACATTTCTTCTGTCGAGAGGATTGCATAATAAGGGAAATTGGTGAGATGAGATGAAATGGGTTTTAACATCACATTCCAAGACTATTTCACTTGTATCGCAATGTTTTGCTTGTACTAGTGGGGACTAATTCCGATGTCATAGTACTAGCCCACTGAGATACCATGCCACAGTCCATCTTTCTGAGGCAAGAGAGTTAACTGACTATAACAGTCCAGTTTCCACCCTTGCCCAACTTGGCTGGAATTTCATTTTGGCTAGACTAACAAGTCTATGCATAGTCCAATTAAAATAGCGCAACACTCATGATGTCAATCACTCTATTGTTTAGTCCATACTTGATTATTTACACACTGCCATCATAAGGCTGGAAAAATGCTTAGTGTGGCGTTACACAAAAAACAAAGTAAACATAGCGATATGTTCAATTACCTAGCTTGCAGAATATTATACGAGACACTGTAATTATGTTCGTTGGTGTCACGCTTAAGTAGGCTCGTCACGGTGATTGAATTACTTGGTGTCAAGTGCCACACTGAGTACTGTGGACTGCACCTGTCTCTCATACTAAAGAAAGTAGGCCGTCTCGCATACGTGTTTCGTCTGTGACTGGTACACATAAGAATTTAATCACACACAATCACATGACTTTACTCCACCACTGTTTCCGCCATGAGTGTCAGACAGTTTGTACATAAAAGTTCCATGAAAATTCTGACAACTTTTGTCATGTTGCCATCAGTCCTTCAAGAGTTATCTCCCTGTACGGGCACTTTCTTGCTGGAACACAGAGAAAATACCTGCTCAGGTCAATGAATATAAATGAGAGCCAGTCCAAACTTTTGTGACCTTGCCTATCACGTGTCTTGGTATCAGGTGCAAAAAGATTTTCAGCCACAAAATCCAAGAACTTTTCAAAACGGACCTCACAATACAAGGCAATTTGAAGCCTGTGTTTGTTTGTTTGTTTGTTTGTTTGTTTGTTGTTTAACGCCGCAATTAGCAATATTCCAGCTATATGACGGCGGTGTATAAAATAATCGAGTCTGGACCAGACAATCCAGTGATTGACATCATGAGCATCGATCCACGCAATTGGGATTGATGACATGTATGAACCAAGTCAGCGAGCCTGACCACCCGATCCTGTTAGTCGCCTTTTACGACAAGCACAGTTGTCTTTTACGGCAAGTATGGGTTGCTGAAGACCTATTCTACCCCGGAATCTTCACGGGTCTTGAAGCCTGTGAGACCCTGTGATACAATCTCCCTGCTTGTGTGAGGGGAGGACACACTCTCTAGTGCCCTGATTTACATTCAATGGTAACACTTTCTGTGTATGATTTTCATAATACTCTTACACTTTAACAATATCTCATCCATTCTGAAAACACACCTTTGCAACAAATGTTCCGCTTTTCTTCAGGACAAACGTTGTGATGTTCAGAGCCTGAAATAAACATAACATAAACCATTTGCTTAATCAGAAAAAATAGGTTTCTTATAATAACTTGCTTTATGGATTTGATGACCCAAAATTTCACAAGAAAATCTTGATATTGGTCTGTTTCTTCCCACAAGTCAGTGAATAAGATTTTTTCCCAAGTGCACCAGTCACATGACAAGTTGTCGTGGAAAACCGTAAAGTTTTAACTCTGGTGACAACATACAATTCAGAACAGAGATATCTCAAATTATTACCAATATAGTTAGAGTGAGCGTGTGTGGAATAACTCTCTGATATTTGCACATGTGCATTTCAAAGATTCTCAATGCTGATTGGTCAGTTGAAGCCACATGATGTCATACTGCTTCATTGTTGACAAACACATGATATAACGTCGTCCATTGTTCACGACAACCTCTGAATAAAAGGCTGACTTCAGTGAAGTTAATCTGTAGGTTTCACACTCAAGGGCGGCCCAGCATTTATACAAGAGAGGTGTCCAAAATATCAAAATCCTCTCTGGCTAAAACATAGTATTACCAGTGCCTACAACAAACAACATTTGGTTTTCAAAAAGTGGGTGGGGGTGTTTTTTTTGGGGGGGGGATTAAATCTGCCTTTGACATGTCATATGTTTTCTTTTTTCTCTCTTAACACATCAATGAGTAATATGTAGAACCACCTACTCGAAACTCGTAATTACGGCTTATCTTTCCCATGTGAATGAATGCTGTAGGGTTCATATTACAAACATTGTTTCTTTATTTTCTCTCTTAAATTGTTAATGAGGAACACAGAGAAATCTCTACCAGAAACTCGGAATTACAAATTATCTTTGCCTCATGAATGATTTGTTTGTTGCCTAACGCCGCACTCAGCAATGTTCCAGCTACATGACGGCAGTCTGTAAATAATCGAGTCTGGACCATACATTCCAGTGATTGATTTCATGAGCATCGATAAAGGTTATTGGAATCGATGACATGCATCAACCAAGTCAGCGAGCATGACCACCGGATCCTGTTAGTCGCCTCTTACAACAAGCATAGTCGCCTCTAACGGCAAGCAAAGTCGCCTGTTACGGCAAGCATCGGGAGGCCTCATGAATGAATACTGTGAGCCCTTCGGCAAAGGCTAGAGACGTAACACCATTCATTCTTCAGGACAGATAATCTGTGAGTCCTCATAGCTTGTTGGTTATTCTCTAATTACTCTACTTACAAGTTATGAAATATAAAGTAACTTACAGCCAGCAGAAGTTGAGCTTGTATATATTCATCAATGTCATGAAGGCCAGTGACTGAAACACAAGTCAAGTTAATATAAAACACTGTAGAGAAACCATTTTCATACTCTTAGGGGCAAGGAATTGCTTTTCACTGCAGAGTGAATGAGTGGGAAAGATTGAAGTTGTTTTTGTTTTTTCATTTCATGCCACTGTCGGCAGTTCTCCAGGTAAATCATGGCGGCCTGTAATTAACTGGGTTTATATTTTGACCAATTCTGCATGCTGCCCAGGGTAACACATAGAACACAGTCAACCATGCTGCCAAGTCAGTTTTAGTTGCCTCTTACAAGAGTGAGTGAGTGAGTGAGTGAGTGAGTGAGTGAGTGAGTGAGTGAGTGAGTGAGTGAGTGAGTGAGTGAGTGAGTGAGTGAGTGAGTGAGTGAGTGAGTGAGTGAGCGAGTTGGGTTTAACGCCGCCTTTAACAGTTTTCCAGTTATATCGCAGGGTGTCAGCTTAATGTGGGAGGAAAGCCCGAAGTGATGCAGGTCTCAGACATTTACCACTTCGGTGAAACCAACGAGCACTGGTATGGTGCTGACAAACCTAGAAACATAATCGGGGCAAACCGGGATTCGAACCCACAATCATAGGTTTCTGGCGTGCCCAAGCGACGCAACTCTGCACAGCGAATAGCGGCGCCTTATACCACTGGGCCATGGTGCATTCAGATAACAATCTTTCCTTCATCATATCTATGTGTAAAAAAAAGGTAGTGGGTTTGGTATCACATCCACCTGTAAATATTGAGTCTGGACCAGACATTGCAGTGATTAATATTGTGAGCAACTATCAACACACATATATACACATATATTACCATCAGGGGCTCCATCACAGACCACCAAGTCAGCTTTCTCCCCTTCAAAATGGCTGATGATTTCTTGAGCTGTAGATTTCTGAAAGTTTCAAAATATACGAGCACACATTAGTAACAGTGGCAACTGAATGTCTCCCAGGATAGTGCATCTTGTCTTCATTGCTGTTGTTGTTGTTGCATTAAGTGTTTAAGAGGTCGCCTTCTGTCTAGGCAATTTCGGCTGACCTGTCCCTCTTTGGGACTCCTGTGTGTGAGTGGGGTACACATATCTATTGTGAGTTCGGTGTTCACATAATTTCTGTTTTTGTATTGATATGATTTCTATTTTCTTATATTGATATGATTTCATTTTTATCCTTGGCTGCTCTGTTTATAATTCTTAATTGGAAAACTTTCAGCAGATATATGACAGCAGAACAAAGCCAGCACTGAACTTCACCAGAATAGAACTCGGATATTAAGCACGAAAAGCAAACACTTCATCCAATGTGCTACCCACAAGCGTCCTGAAGGAGTGAGCTGAGCTTAAAACTGCTCACAGCATTTAATATAAGAAATAAACAAGTGGGAGTTGTTTATTTTACAACAAAAAACTGCAGGGAGAATAAACCATGAGGGGCGCAGCGTTTATCGGCATACCCCAGCTACATCTGTTGGGAACAACTCACTAGACACGAAACTGTGTCAGTATAACTTGGGACATCTTCCCGAGGCAAGAGAGTTAACTGACGTTAAAAGTCAAGTTTTCACCCTTGCTGAACTAGTATGGAATTCCTGGGCTCGATCGTAGCGCCACCAGTGGCTATTGCGAGTTATGTCCTTTCTATGCCTCTCCTACTGACCAATCAGATTCAACCTCTTGTATCACTTGCATTTGCTTCCAACAAAACGGTGGCGCCCAGTCAAGACGATCTGATCGAAAATCAAGATCTATATTGTGATAAAACGAGTCTTATATCGCGAAATGCATCAAATCATGTGAGCACCTTGGTTAAAAATATAAATGGATTTAGAAAATATCTGTTGACAACGAGTTAGCGGTGCGCATGCTTTGCAAATGCTGCAGTCGACCGAAATCTGCATGACACTTTACAAACTGGATTTCGATTTCCGTGCACGATTTTGATTGGACTATGCATAGACTCGTTAGTCCAGCCAAAATGTAACTCCATAATACCAGCCTAGTTCGGCAAGGGTGGAAACTGGACTTTTATAGTCAGTTAACTCACTTGCCTCGGGAAGATGAACTTGGGAGGAGATTAATGATCTTGATAATGTCCACAAACACAGGTGTGGTGAGGACAAAACAGCTTCTTTAATGAGAAGAAACCTGGGATCAAAACCACGGTGGAACTGGTACCAAAGCTGTCAGCAACATTCCAGTCGAATCCCAGGCAATCTCATTAAAATCAGATCTTAGTTCTCGCTACCGCTAAACAAAGATTTGAGGACATCCCATTACGGGTTATGTCAGAACAACCTTACCAGATCATGAAAGTGACAGTTGGGATGTGATTTCTCATCATGCAACTGCGAAAGCGTAAACACGGGTATTCATAATGAGAGTGACGGGCTTTATGACTGAATCCATCTTTTAGCCATTCCAGAATGTTCGTTCATTCCGTTTTCAAATTTTAATCGGGAATTTGTCAAAAATTGTTTCAAAGCGGAGTTGCCAGTTTGAAACTAGTGCCATAGAGCACAAGAAAGCTGTCTTCTGATTGGCTAATGTCGACTTCTTGTCAGTCATATCATTGTTCGGTCAAAGTTCGAGAAAGGTCGGTCTGACTTGACCCGAAACGTATGTCCTCAGATCTTTGTTTAGCTGGGGAAAGGACTAAGATCTGAGATTGCGTCCCAGCAGACGTAAAATAATCCAATCTTGCCCAGTTGAACAAGTTGCTGAAGACTGACCTCAACAGGGCACAATGACAATCAACAAAGTAATGGTAATGGGTGGTATCCTATCCTCATCGGTCAGCTGTGACAACCTTCTCGTTCATCCAGTGTACAACATATCCATGTTATTACCGTGGAATCATTCCATGCCATTTCCTCACATCAACTCCACACTCTCACCCAGCACAGAAATTCTGTCACTCATGAGTGAGTTGGGTTTAACAACGCTTTTAACATTATTCCAGTTATATCGCGGCATGTCAGCTTAATGTGGGAGGAAAGCCCGAAGTGATGCAGGTCTCAGACGTTTTCCATTTTGGTGAAACCCACGAGCACGGGTATGGTGCTGACAAACCTAGAAACATAATGGGGATGAACCAGGATTCGAACCCACAATCATAGGTTTCTGGGGTGTCCAGGGGACGCAACTCTGCACAGCGAATCGCTGCGCCTTAGACGACTGGGCCACCCATGCCTCCCTCTCTCACTCATGAGTCAACCGAGCCAATGACAATGCCCCTCAACATTCTGAATACGAGTTCTACAAAGACCAACACTCAAAATCACAACCTGGTATGATTGAGCTCTTGATACGTTTAATCAATTCAGAAGACTTTTTAATTAACTTTCAGCTGGAAAATAGGTTATCCTGAACAAAAGATGGATGCCTTTATGCTACAAAATGTTCCCAGTTGTATTTGAGACTGCATACAAAAACTTGAGGCGAGACCTGGCAATATCCACATGGTTCAGTTTTGAAGTAGCAGTTATATATGATTGTGTGGCAACTTAATCGTGACTCAAACTGATATATCAAACAGAAAGGCAAAATGATGCTGGAAAATTGAGGATGTGTATGACAAAGCTAGATTTGCTGTTAGTTCCAGTTAGTGATTTGGAACGTATTCTGCACCAGAATCCTAATTTTGGAGAATATCTCCCATTATTATGCAAAGTAGTAAACAGTATTCATATTTAGCTAGTGCTGCTTTTCAAACATAATTGAAAAATAAATAAAAATTTAAGAGAATCTTTTGATTTTTGGTTTGTTATATTGTTTGTCATTCTTTTGGTGGTAAATAGATACAACAATCAGAAATTTCTATTGGCATTCTGAAAGGTTGATATTCAGGCTCTATGTCTATGGCAAATGTTGGCAACTTCCCTGGAAATAATAATCACAACAGTTTTCACATCAGTTCTGAAGATGTTACTCTGTGAAGATATATGTGAAGATACCTACCGGGTATGTACTAAAACAAATAAAATTATATATGGTTATTCCAAAACTTTGTGTCACTGGCAATTTGGCAACTCTAGAATGAATGATGACATTGTGAAAATAATTACATATTGTTGTGAGTTTGTTCAGATCCTGTGTAGCTCTCACTGTAGCTCTGTTCCTGTTCTTGTTTTTCTCACTAGCTTACTTTACAAGATACAATCACTACTTACATCCTCCAAACATTTTGTCAAGACTCAGATTGCAACTCCATTTACAATTGTTTGTAAACTGAGACGACATCATTAAAAGAGAACTTAAGTAGCCATGAGTTATCTCCCTTTAATGAAGTAACCAGGGTACGACATGGTAGAGACCAACATGTTCCAAGCGAGTGAGTTTTATTGTGCTTTTAGCAGTATTCCAGCAATGTCAAGGTGGGAGACACTAGACACTAATACTGTAAATCTTGAAATTAACGCGAGTGTGAATTAAATGCTAAAAATGCAAGTGGTCTTTGCTCACATTAATAAACTTCTCATTTATGTCTCCAAATGACTATCAACAAAAAGACGGCCTCACTGCACACTTTGGATAGCGGAAATACCAACTTGAATATAAACACAAACACGGTTTACTGAGAAGCAGTTGTAACAGGTATATAACAATGTCATTTAAAAATAGGAATTACACAATAGGCATCCGGTGAGTTACCACTGCTGGGGTCAAGAGTTCTACCCACTCGTGCCAAGCTTGTTGACACCTTCTCCTCAACTGTTTTTGGTTCAATTATTTTATTGCCTTTGAACTTCCTTAATGTCAGTCAACAGAATAAACATATAAACTGTGTGTTGTTTTTAATGGAAGTGCTCAACTCAGCGCTAAAAAGCGATGCTCTTTGCTGTTTGATTTGATTAAGGTAAGGATATGTATTATTCCACTAGGAATTGGGTGGAGAGAGTTGCATTGATATTGAGTCACATTTTTGGTTAGGGGTCAGCAGTGGTATTAATTTGGAGATGCGTTAATTTCCAGTATATGTGGAGAGAATGTTCTGAAAACACCTGCTGACAATAGCATAAGTTAGAGATACGAAGAGTCATTTTCATTGGTTGTTGGGTTCAAGCAGAGAGTGAGAATATCTGAACATAGAAAAATATTTCATGTTTACCAATTCTGCTTCAAAGAGAGGAGGGGGCACTGGAGGCCCAGTTGTCCCAGTGAAGAGTTGTGTCCTTTATGGACACCAGAAACCTCAATCTCACTAAAATTAGACCCTAGTTCTCGCTACCGCTAAACAAAGATCTGAAGATATCCCATTAGGGGTCACGTCAGAAAGACCTTTCATACGACCAATCAGAGCGTCGCTTACCAGATTATGAAAGTGACAGTCGGAATGTGATTTCTAATCATGCAATTTCGAAAACTTTAACAGGGGGTATTCCGAACGATAGTTACCGGTTTAAAGACTGAATCAATACAATCTAGACCATCTATTAGCCATTCCAGAATGTTCTTTTGTTCAGGTTTCAAATTTGTAATCAAGAATTTGTCAAAATATGTTGCGAAGCGTAGTCGCCAATTTGAAATTAGTGCTGTAAAGCACGAGAAAGCTGCCTTCTGATAGGTCATTCCATTGGTCTGTCAAAGTTCGCAAAAGGTCTGTCTGACGTGACCCGTAATGGGATGTCCTCAGATCTTTGTTTAGCGGTAGCGAGTGAGTTATAAGGATGTTACAGTTACCTTTGTAATATCTCCCTGAAGCTGTATAACACCAGGAATTGGCGCCATAGCCTGTAGATCCACTGCCACAATCTTAGCATCACTCTGTTTACCATCAATACCTCTGAAAGGAGGTAATAGAATCAGTATGCATAAAAACTGGCTCGGAGGTTCATAAACTGGAGCAGTCTCCAATTTATTACACTGGGAACGTAGTCTGCCCCAGAATCCAAACAAAGTGTTTGCATGGTGATTCCTTTGAATCATACTGAAAATCTCTTATCTGGACATCAATCACTGCATAGGCTTTGTTTGTAAAAGAATTTCACCAGTGTAACTTCAAAACACAGAAGATGTCCATCAAGGATGGTCTTGGCACATGGCAATAATCTCACCTGAGTTTCCGTGACAACACCTGACTCCAGCTACCTGGGGCTGCACAGAGGTCAACAACCTTTGTCACACCTGTAAGGTAACAGTGGGGATGTGAGATTGCTCTCAGGACGACAGTATCATATTTTGCTTACAACACCCAACCCCCCGAACCCCCCACCCATTCTATGTACCGGGATAACATTTTTTCATGTCCCCCACCCCCCAGTCATAAATGACCAGTTCCTACATCGTGTTTAAATATACTTTACACTCTCTCACCCCAAAATCATTGTGATACCTCTCGGCAACACCGCTCATTTGTTATGTCATTTTTTAATGCCCCCACCCGACCCCCCCTTCACTTAATCTCACAAATCCCCCGTCATCCATAATAAATTACCAGACCCATAGCCAGGTGTTTGAAGCCAGTGCCTTGTCAAATTTCTTTTGGTCTAGTTAGCTAAGCTGACAAAAGTCCATATTAATGAACAGTAGAGAACTGAAATCAAGTGATAAGTTTGGTTTAGAGGGAGAAAAAAATGTTTGGCACATACTGTGATCCATTACCTGTTGACTGAGGATCAGCCAGATTCCCATATTCTACATAATATGTGCCCAGGGAACTCTCAATATTAGAAATAGGAGGCTCTTATTAGAATATTATTATGGTGAAAAAAACAGAGTTGAAAGATCGTTAATTTTGTGGTTTATGCTGAAATATTTATGTACGACAGATATATTTTTCCATAATTCAATTACCCATAATTAAGAGTGCATATAACACATGAGTGCTTATTTTACGCGAATAAATAAGTCTTGTGTACATTGATCAATCGGAAGGGGTGCTAATTGGGATTGTTCACTAGCCAATATCTTAGCAAATGTCACTGTGGGCGCTTATTAGAGCTGGGCGCTTTTTACGTCGAATACGGTATGTGTATATATAGTCTGTACCATGATGATCATTCAGTCTTGCTTGACAACGGTACAAAGATCTGTACCAAAACGTCGCCTTTACAGTAATCAAAGAATTGATATCCATAAATTGCGTCTAAATTTATTAGTTTGTTGTTTAACGCCCCCTCAGCAATATTCCAGCTATAAGGCGGTCTGTAAATAATCAAGTCTGGACCGGACAATAAAGTGATTGATATCATGAGCATTGATCCATACAATTGGGATACGGTGAAATGCATCAACCAAGTCAGAGAGCCTGACCACCCGATCCCATCAGCTGCCTCTTACGACAAGCTGGGGCCTGAAGGCCAACTTTAATCTGGATCTCGGGGCATGGGAAGAAAGTATAAAGTAACCTTGGAATATGTTGAAGTCATCATTTATCTGCAGCAGCTTGAATGCACTCCTTGCTCTCCATCCTTCTTCCTTAGCAAGGCGGTAGTAGACATCCCGCTTGTCCTTCGAGGATCTTCCCATGATTCCTGAAGAATTAAGAGTGAGTGAGTTGGGTTTAACACCGCTTTTAACAGTATTCCAGTTATATCACGGCGTGTCAGCTTAATGTGGAAGGAAAGCCCGAAGTGATGCAGGTCTTAGACGTTTATCACTTCCGTGAAACCCACGAGTACGGGTATGGTGCTGACAAACCTAGAAACATAATCGAGGTGAACCGGGATTCGAATCATAGGTTTCTGGCAAATTCAGCCAGGTTGACATGTATTATCAGGTGCTAATGGAAATTTCTGTCCTTGAAAAAAGCCTTATACTACATGTACTAAATGAATGAAGTCAAATCCATTCATTACATTGTCTCATGGTGAACTATAGGGATACTAATTGACCCAGGAATACCTAACAATCTGGTTCAGAAACAACCTTATGGATACAAATCTACCAGTTATGAAACAACCTAATGGATACAAATCTACCAGGTTATGAAACAACACAAGGGATACAAATCTACCAGGTTATGAAACAACACAAGGGATACAAATCTACCAGGTTATGAAACAACACAAGGGATACAAATCTACCAGGTTATGATACAACACAAGGGATACAAATCTACCAGGTTATGATACAACACAAGGGATACAAATCTACCAGGTTATGATACAACACAAGGGATACAAATCTACCAGGTTATGAAACAACCTAATGGATACAAATCTACCAGGTTATGAAACAACACAAGGGATACAAATCTACCAGGTTATGAAACAACACAAGGGATACAAATCTACCAGGTTATGAAACAACACAAGGGATACAAATCTACCAGGTTATGATACAACACAAGGGATACAAATCTACCTGGTTATGAAACAACACAAGGGATACAAATCTACCAGGTTATGAAACAACACAAGGGATACAAATCTACCAGGTTATGAAACAACACAAGGGATACAAATCTACCAGGTTATGAAACAACACAAGAGATACAAATCTACCAGGTTATGAAACAACACAAGGGATACAAATCTACCAGGTTATGAAACAACACAAGGGATACAAATCTACCAGGTTATGATACAACACAAGGGATACAAATCTACTAGGTTATGAAACAACACAAGGGATACAAATCTACCAGGTTATGAAACAACACAAGGGATACAAATCTACCAGGTTATGAAACAACAAAAGGGATACAAATCTACCAGGTTATGACACAACACAAGGGATACAAATCTACCAGGTTATGATACAACACAAGGGATACAAATCTACCAGGTTATGAAACAACACAAGGGATACAAATCTACCAGGTTATGAAACAACACAAGGGATACAAATCTACCAGGTTATGAAACAACACAAGGGATACAAATCTACCAGGTTATGAAACAACACAAGGGATACAAATCTACCAGGTTATGAAACAACACAAGGGATACAAATCTACCAGGTTATGATACAACACAAGGGATACAAATCTACCAGGTTATGATACAACACAAGGGATACAAATCTACCAGGTTATGATACAACACAAGGGATACAAATCTACTAGGTTATGAAACAACACAAGGGATACAAATCTACCAGGTTAGGAAACAACACAAGGGATAAAAATCTACCAGGTTATGAAACAACCTAATGGATACAAATCTACCTGGTTATGAAACAACACAAGGGATACAAATCTACCAGGTTATGAAACAACACAAGGGATACAAATCTACCAGGTTATGAAACAACACAAGGGATACAAATCTACCAGGTTATGAAACAACACAAGGGATACAAATCTACCTGGTTATGAAACAACACAAGGGATACAAATCTACCTGGTTATGAAACAACACAAGGGATACAAATCTACCAGGTTATGAAAAAACATAAGGGATACAAATCTACTAGGTTATGAAACAACACAAGGGATACAAATCTACCTGGTTATGAAACAACCTAATGGATACAAATCTACCAGGTTATGAAACAACACAAGGGATACAAATCTACCTGGTTATGAAACAACACAAGGGATACAAATCTACCAGGTTATGAAACAACACAAGGGATACAAATCTAATAGGTTATGAAACAACACAAGGGATACAAATCTACTAGGTTATGATACAACACAAGGGATACAAATCTACCAGGTTATGATACAACACAAGGGATACAAATCTACCAGGTTATGAAAAAACACAAGGGATACAAATCTACCAGGTTATGAAACAACACAAGGGATACAAATCTACCAGGTTATGAAACAACACAAGGGATACAAATCTACCAGGTTATGAAACAACACAAGGGATACAAATCTACCAGGTTATGAAACAACACAAGGGATACAAATCTACCAGGTTATGAAACAACACAAGGGATACAAATCTACCAGGTTATGAAACAACACAAGAGATACAAATCTACCAGGTTATGATACAACACAAGGGATACAAATGTACCAGGTTATGAAACAACACAAGGGATACAAATCTACCTGGTTATGAAACAACCTAATGGATACAAATCTACCAGGTTATGAAACAACCTAATGGATACAAATCTACCAGGTTATGAAACAACACAAGGGATACAAATCTACCAGGTTATGAAACAATACAAGGGATACAAATCTACCAGGTTATGAAACAACACAAGGGATACAAATCTACCTGGTTATGAAACAACACAAGGGATACAAATCTACCAGGTTATGAAACAACACAAGGGATACAAATCTACCAGGTTATGAAACAACACAAGGGATACAAATCTACCAGGTTATGAAACAACACAAGGGATACAAATCTACCAGGTTATGAAACAACACAAGGGATACAAATCTACCAGGTTATGAAACAACACAAGGGATACAAATCTACCTGGTTATGAAACAACACAAGGGATACAAATCTATCAGGTTATGAAACAACACAAGGGATACAAATCTACCAGGTTATGAAACAACACAAGGGATACAAATCTACCAGGTTATGAAACAACACAAGGGATACAAATCTACCAGGTTTTGAAACAACACAAGGGATACAAATCTACCTGGTTATGAAACAACACAAGGGATACAAATCTACCAGGTTATGAAACAACACAAAGGATACAAATCTACCAGGTTATGAAACAACACAAGGGATACAAATCTACCAGGTTATGAAACAACACAAGGGATACAAATCTACCAGGTTATGAAACAACACAAGGGATACAAATCTACTAGGTTATGAAACAACACAAGGGATACAAATCTACTAGGTTATGAAACAACACAAGGGATACAAATCTACCTGGTTATGAAACAACCTAATGGATACAAATCTACCAGGTTATGAAACAACCTAATGGATACAAATCTACCAGGTTATGAAACAACACAAGGGATACAAATCTACCAGGTTATGAAACAACACAAGGGATACAAATCTACCAGGTTATGAAACAACACAAGGGATACAAATCTACCAGGTTATGAAACAACACAAGGGATACAAATCTACCAGGTTATGAAACAACACAAGAGATACAAATCTACCAGGTTATGATACAACACAAGGGATACAAATCTACCAGGTTATGAAACAACACAAGGGATACAAATCTACCTGGTTATGAAACAACCTAATGGATACAAATCTACCAGGTTATGAAACAACCTAATGGATACAAATCTACCAGGTTATGAAACAACACAAGGGATACAAATCTACCAGGTTATGAAACAACACAAGGGATACAAATCTACCAGGTTATGAAACAACACAAGGGATACAAATCTACCTGGTTATGAAACAACACAAGGGATACAAATCTACCAGGTTATGAAACAACACAAGGGATACAAATCTACCAGGTTATGAAACAACACAAGGGATACAAATCTACCAGGTTATGAAACAACACAAGGGATACAAATCTACCTGGTTATGAAACAACACAAGGGATACAAATCTACCAGGTTATGAAACAACACAAGGGATACAAATCTACCTGGTTATGAAACAACACAAGGGATACAAATCTACCAGGTTATGAAACAATACAAGGGATACAAATCTACCAGGTTATGAAACAACACAAGGGATACAAATCTACCAGGTTATGAAACAACACAAGGGATACAAATCTACCAGGTTTTGAAACAACACAAGGGATACAAATCTACCAGGTTATGAAACAACACAAGGGATACAAATCTACCAGGTTATGAAACAACCTAATGGATACAAATCTACCAGGTTATGAAACAACACAAGAGATACAAATCTACTAGGTTATGAAACAACACAAGGGATACAAATCTACCAGGTTATGAAACAACACAAGGGATACAAATCTACCAGGTTATGAAACAACACAAGGGATACAAATCTACCTGGTTATGAAACAACACAAGGGATACAAATCTACCTGGTTATGAAACAACACAAGGGATACAAATCTACCTGGTTATGAAACAACACAAGGGATACAAATCTACCAGGTTATGAAACAACCAAATGGATACAAATCTACCAGGTTATGATACAACACAAGGGATACAAATCTACCAGGTTATGAAACAACCTAATGGATACAAATCTACCAGGTTATGAAACAACACAAGGGATACAAATCTACCAGGTTATGATACAACAAAAGGGATACAAATCTACCAGGTTATGATACAACAAAAGGGATACAAATCTACCAGGTTATGAAACAACACAAGGGATACATATCTACCTGGTTATGAAACAACACAAGGGATACAAATCTACCAGGTTATGATACAACAAAAGGGATACAAATCTACCAGGTTATGATACAACAAAAGGGATACAAATCTACCAGGTTATGAAACAACACAAGGGATACAAATCTACCAGGTTATGAAACAACACAAGGGATACAAATCTACCAGGTTATGAAACAACACAAGGGATACAAATCTACCTGGTTATGAAACAACACAAGGGATACAAATCTACTAGGTTATGAAACAACACAAGGGATACAAATCTACCAG